AGGGAGGATGAGCTGCTCTGAGTTTCCAGGAAATCAGGGTCACACCTGGGAGCAGGTGATGTGGCAGTCATTGCCTTGGCATCAGGGCATAGAAATGGTCTGTGTGGATGGCATGGGGAAAAGACACTGAAGATTTTGGGATGAACAAAAAGGGTCATCCAGGGGCTCATTCTTTATCCTTCAGCTTCCATTTGTATTTTTGTTCAGTCAGACCCAGCTGCCCCCCAGCAGCAGTGAGGAGCAGGCTGTGTGCTGAGGGCTGGGAAGGGATGTGGGGCCAGAATCTCCCTCCCACACAGGAGAGGGAGCCCTGGGCATCCCTGTGAGGGTCCCTCCTGTTCCTCCCTCCCACACAGGTGAGGATGCAGGCCCAGCTGGACGGGGCCCTGCTGGAGGACGTGTACACGCTGCCCGTGGGCATCCGCACCGTGCACGTCACCAGCAGCCAGTTCCTCATCAACGGCCGCCCCTTCTACTTCCACGGGGTCAACAAGCACGAGGATGCAGATGTGAGTGTGACACCCAGGGCCACCTCAGCTCACATTGCTGCCCACGTGGCACCTGTGCTGCCTCCCCTGCCCTCTCCTCTCACACCCTCCTCCCAGGCTGAGCACTAAGGGGACACCCACACTGTGTCTGGTCCTGCCATCCCTCAGGGCACAGGGATGTGCTGCTGGAGACACTGAAGCATGTCCCAGCTGTCAGCCAGACATGCTGACAGACAGTCTGATGTGAGGTCCTGGCACAGGTTGCACAGAGAAGCTGTGGCTGCCACAGTTGGACAGGGCTTGGAGCAGCCATGGCAGGGGTGGAATGATAACAGCTTTAAGGTCCCCTCCAACCAAACCCCTCTGACTGTGGCAGCAGCTGTTGGGTTCCCCACCCCCGGATCAAGCAGGGGAACTCTGTTCACAAGGGCTGGTTGCTCTTTTCTCCCCAGATCCGTGGCAAAGGCCTGGACTGGCCCCTGATTGTGAAGGATTTCAACCTGCTGCGCTGGCTGGGCGCCAACTCGTTCCGCACCAGCCACTACCCGTACGCCGAGGAGATCATGGACCTGTGTGACGCCTACGGCATCGCCGTCATCGACGAGAGCCCGGGGGTGGGCATCAAACTGCCGTAAGAGCTGCCAGCCCACCCTGCCCTCGCCCCTCTGCTCCCCTCCCAGCTGCTCCCAAGGGTCCCTTTACTGCTGTTACACTGCTGTGCTCAGTGCTGATAGTGGGAGTACTTTGCTCTGTGTGGAAATGTCCCGTTGCGCCACCGTGGTGCCTCATGGTGTTGGGCAATGCCTCATGATGAGGGCACTTTGCCACATTTTGCCACAGGGCTCCGTTAATGAGCCCATACCATGGCCCTGAACTGTGCAGTGAACTTTGGGGAAATAGAGCAGAAGCCATCTGTCCCTTTCATTTTTTAAGATTTTTTAAGCTTTCTGATTTGACATTTTTGTAGCAAACTTTCTCACACGCTTCCTGTAAATAACTCATTGTTTTGCGTTCCTTTATGGAGGAGAAGAAATTTGATGGACTGTTAGTTTATCCAGTGTCATTGGAGAGGTGGCACTGTCACCCTCCAATCCACTGTCACTTTTGGAAAACTATAAATGTTGGGGTCAGAAAATAATCTTCCCTTTTTTTCTTCACCTGGAGAGCAGCGGTGTGTGCTTGTGTTGTCTCCTGTAGTGACAGCCATCCTCAGCTGTGCTGTGCTGAGTTTTCTGGATTTTCCCAGGGAAATGGATGCATTTCACACCCTCACCTCCTTCTGTTTTGCAGGGAGAGCTTTGGGAACAGGTCCCTGCAGCACCACCTGGCAGTGATGGAGGAGCTGGTGCGCAGGGATAAGAACAGGCCCTCCGTGGTCATGTGGTCAGTGGCCAACGAGCCGGCCTCAGAGCTGCCCCCAGCTGCTCACTACTTCAAGTGAGTGCCTCTGCTCCTCATCTCGTGGCAGGTGATGCCTCTTCTTCCTTTGGGATGGCACAGAGAGGTAGTAAAGGGAGGGTTGGCATTTTTTGGGAACATTGGAACTGAACCTGTGGATGCAAACTAAAATGGAAACTTCAAACTAAAATGGAACTGCTGCATGTGTGGAACTGATGCTCAGAACTGTTCCAACGTGTTGGTTCAGAGCCACCAAGACTGCACAAAATTCCCAGGAGTCCACTTGGTTTGAGCATCTCTTCTCGAGCTGAGGGTTGAGTAAAACCAGACCTGGTGAGAATGGAATGTTCCTTGTTAGCACTGGAAGGTGATTGCTGAATCCTTTGAGATTTCCAGCAAAACTGTAAAATAACTGGCCTTTCACTGTGAACACAAGGTTCTGCAGTCAGGGCTGCTTATTTGTCCTGTGGCTCCCCACTTCAAAGGCACTGCTTTGAGTGCCTGCAGCCCCCTTGGTTTGTTTCTAAAGAGATTTAAGCTTTGCATGGCCCAGAGGCGGCTGTAATGGGCAGCAGTGTCCCTGGAGCTGAGGTGCATTAAGAGAGAGCTGTGAAGTTTGATCCTTCAGGCTGTTCCGCCGCCCTCCTGCAATGCCAGGCCAGCAGCAGAGCTCGACTCTCCCGTTCTGCCCCATCTCCCTCACTCAGGGTTTCCTCAGAAACATCCAACTGTGGCACAGAACCTCAGGAGCACATCCCAGCAGTTCTTCAGAGACTTCCCATTGCCCTTTTTACAGTTTTGTCCTCAAACTCAACTGTCCCTCCACCTCCTGAGCTGCTGGCACCACCCAGGTGCCTGTGCTTGGTGTGCTTCACTCTGCTCCTTCTCAGGTGGCCCTTGGTGACAGATATTCTCTTTATTTCACTCAAATCCAGAGCAGCTCGGTCTGGGGGGTGGAGGGACACAGAGGGGGCTGTGCTGCTCCATGCTGTTGTTGAACTCTTGCTTTACTCTTTGCACACAGGACAGTGATAGCTCACACTAAAGCCCTCGACCCCTCCAGACCCGTCACCTTTGTGACAGATGCTAATTACGCTCTTGATCGTGGTGTAAGTTTGCTTTATTTTCTAGCTTTTTCTTTCTTTCTTTTTTTTTAATTCATACATTAAATTTCCTTCTCTTGTCACTTGTTTTATATTCCTTTCCCCCCATTCCTGTCTAAATTTACTGGAGATATTTAGCAGGGAAAAGCTAAAAAAATTACATTTTTGTTTCTAGTAGAAATCACCTTATCCTATAGTTATAGCTCAGCTAAAAAAAAAAGAAAAAATCTGTAAGAGAGAACAATTCTTTGTGTGCAGGATTATGGCCCTGGATTCTATTAATATTGTCATGCTTTGCTATGCCATTGATTCTGTTTACTAATGCTCAGGATTTGCACTTGCAATTAAGCCAAAGCTTAAACCTCTTTAAAATGCTCACAACCCTTGTGGAAGTCTAAAGGAAGGAAGCTTTGCTTTAATTCCTGCTTTCAACTGCTCTAGATCTTCTTTGGCAGATGTCTCTTTGTGTTGAATAATCTAAAAGCTCCTCCAGCTCCACAATTAAAAAGCCCTGGAGCTGGATAAATAATCAAAATGCATTTTCCTTGGATTTTGGGGCCTTTCATAGCATGGACCAAGGATTTTTAACACCTGTATTTGTTTCCAGGGTAGATCCTTGTACAATAATCACCTCTAGCAGGTGAGTTGGTGCTGCCACACATCCCTGGTCCAGGTTACACTTTGGATTTCTTCTCAAATATCCTCTAATTAGCAGGAATGGCTGCAACTCTGAGGTTTTTCCTCCCCACCCCAGAAAAAAACCCAAACCTCTGATGGTTTTAAATTTGAGGGAGCCCAGCAGGAATCTGCTTTTGATATCCCATTCCCACTCTGCCCAAACTGCAGGAGCTCAGGCAAACACACCCAGAGAACAGATCTCTCATACACTGATGTGATATTAGAACTTTTTTTTTTTCTTTTATTACAAAACATGTTAAGAGAACATTGAACAAGTTACATACAACATCACTTTATTTTGAGGGGGCTTTGTGCCCTTTTATCACACTGTCCATGTGGTAGAAATGGCAAATAACTTGCAGAATGCTTTAGTCTTAGTATTGCACCATTGATGCACAAAATTTAGTTGCTAGTCAAAATATTTGACCACTCACTTGATAATCACATTCCAATACTCAAAAAGAAAAAGTACATCTAAATGTACCAGCAAGCCAGAGACATCTTGGAAACAAAAAAACTTCTAACAAACCTGAGAATGAAACGTGTTGATCTTGTCTAACTCTTTGCTGTGACTTCCTAATCTGTAAGAAAAATGCCAGATTAATGCTGTTAGCTTATTAAAATTATCCTTTTTTTCTGGGAAAGAGATTATATCTGGAGAGCCTGAGTGATGGGGGAAACAATGAATTCTGTGTGTAATAAACCTGGATTCCATTAATTGAACCCAAAGGAGGATTTAGATTTACCAGAGAAGGTTGAAGAACACTCTCACCTTGTTTTTTGCAGGCTCCCTACGTGGATGTGATTTGTGTGAACAGCTACTTCTCCTGGTACCATGACCCAGGGCACCTGGAGGTGATCCCACTGCAACTCACAGCCCAGTTTGAGAACTGGTACAAAACCTACCAAAAACCCATTATCCAGAGTGAATATGGAGCAGACTCAGTGCCTGGGCTGCACAGTGTGAGTGTTGTGGTGGAAACAGCTCTTGGAGGCAGAAAATGGGCACTGGGAGAGGCTGGCACCCCTGGGCCTGGCTGTGCCCAAAAGGCTCCAGGATTGGGATCCTGCTCCACCAAAACCAGAGAGCTCTGCCACTCACTCTGTCTGCTACAGAGGACTCCAAAATCTGTCCTTGAAGTGCTAAAAATGCTGAAATGAAAGCAGACCCTGGAGAAGGGAGGTTCCTGGTGCTGTCCCATTCAGGGGGTGGCACACCAGGAGAATTGCCCCTGGGAGCTGTGTGTTTGCTGATGGTCACAGCAGCACAGGCAGCCCCAGAGCTGTGGGCAGGAGGGCTCTGGGTGGGATTGTTTGTGCCCTGAGCTCTCTCCTGGCTGCAGGACCCCCCCATGATGTTCAGTGAGGAGTACCAGCAGGCCATGCTCAGGGAGTACCACTCTGTGCTGGACAAGAAGAGGAAGGAGTACGTGGTTGGGGAGCTCATCTGGAATTTTGCTGATTTCATGACCAATCAAGGTGAGATTTTATTTATATCCTAAACCTCTCCATCATCCCTGGGAGTTTAGTGGTTGTGCCACACCAACACTGTGCTGAAGGGTGGGACAAAAGGCTCTCTGTTCACCAGGTTTTGTCACAAAATCCAGCATGCCCAGAGCCAAGAGAGAAGGTCCTGCCTGTGCTGAATTGCACAGATGCTCCCAGGAGCATGGGACAGTGCACAGGGGAAGCTTGTGAGGACCCAGCTGCTCCTGGTTTTGGCCACCCTCAATTCAGAGCTTCAGGCAGCTGTCAGGGACATCTCTCTTGCTTCCAGTGTCACCCTGGGAACAGAGCACCTGAAATAATCACAATTTACTTGGTGGAGGTTCAGCAGCAGAGGAGCAGATGCCACACTGGCACACAGCTGGCTCACCATGCCACTCCATCCATTATTAACAGATAAGTGCAGTCACAAAGGAAGGGAAATTCCCTAATTCACAGCAATGAAACAATCACAACTCAGATCTAACAATGAACCTGTTCTGCTTATGCCACCTGCAGTGGCTTGGGGTGGTGAGCAGTCAGGGAGAGGGAGAACAGCACTAAAATACCCTGCAGAGCACCAGGACAGGCATTGCAGAGCTCAGTGGTGGCAGTGCCCAGAAAAGCAGCATCAAAAAGGACTCAGAAAATGTAGACAAGGTCACACACAGATGCAGTTCCAGGCTCTCAACCTGTTGCAGTCCTTTTCTCTAATTTCCTGTGAAAACCAAAACAGGCAGAAAGGATGCTGACAGCACACAGGACAGTGAGCAGTCACCACCGTTTCCTCCATGCAGTCTGAAGGTGGAGCCAATCTCCAGCAGTGAGCACCCTGATCCCTGGGCACACCCAGTGATGTCCCAGCCCAGCAGCTGCATTGCCCTGTCCCATCCACGGCTCCCTGACTGTGCAAACAAAGTGCAGAGGTCCCTTCCACGTGGCCTGATTTTATCCCTACACTGTACCAGCTCACTGCAGAGCCTGGTTTGTACATTCTGTGTAAATTTCTGTGGTTTGTAACTTCTCTGCAGGCACCACCCGAGTTCTGGGTAACAAGAAGGGAATCTTCACCCGGCAGCGCCAGCCCAAAGCCGCCGCCTTTGTCCTTAGGGACAGGTACTGGAGGATTGCAAACGAGTCAAGCTGTCTTCCTCCTGCAACATCATCACATTCTCTCTTCCTAAAATGAAAACAAAGGGTTTAGTGGCTGGGGATGATGCTGAACTCGTTATTAAATCTCTGTTTAAATAAGTTCTATGCCTGATTCAAGTCTTGCAAGTCCAGTGCGATTTCTAGTCCACCTGAAGTAGTTACTGTGATGCAAAGCAGATCAGAAACTTTTGTTTCCTCTGCTCAGCCAAGTCTGGAGGCTTCTTGTTTCCAGGCAGGAAAACAAATATTCACTTTCCAGGAGCTGAAGTTAAGAAATCCTGACTGAGGTATCTGTTTATGGCAAAAAAAAATTACAAATATTACATGACACAACTCAATGCTGAACTTAAAAACAAAACCTAAGTTATTCTAAATGAACACCACATCCCTCTAAAGCAAATGAGGTTTTCCAGTTCAACTCCCCTAAGAGTTAACACTACTGAGATCACAGCAAACTGCCCACAGGCTTGCAGAGGAGCACAGTTTGTGCAGCTGCTCTGGCCTGGCAGGATGGATGTGTGAGAAATCCTGAGCATTCCCAGCAGCAGGAGGGTGTGAGGCACCCAGCACATCCAACAGAGAGCTTGGAATTCCTGTTCCAGCAGCAAGGTGGAATGTTGTTACACAGGGAGGGACCACCTCAACTCAACTTGAAATCTATTTATTTTACAGTACCAAAACTGCCACTGTCAGACACAAACTGTGCCCAACAATGCCACTGCCATGTGGGAGGGCTTCCTTCATTTTCAATATCACCACAGGGAGAGCAGCCCAGAGGGAAATTCTGTTCCAAACCTCAGGGGCAGGGCCAGGTGTAAATAAACCCCTGTGCTGCTGCAGTGCTGTCCCTTTAGGCTTTAGCCTGGCATGGATCACACCAGCACTTAGCAAAACTCAGAATATTTAATCTGAGTTTTAAGTTAATCAAACTCCCCAGCACTGTCCCAAAAGCAGCAGGACAAGGAGCAGAACAACAAAAGCAGAGGCTGCCCAAAGCATTTGGGAAGTTCCAATCTGGAGTTTGGTTATTGGAATTCACAGATTCTGGGTGAAACTGGTGCCTCTGTGTCAGTGCCTCAGAGGAGTGACCAAATCTGACCCTATAAAGGAAATATTTGCTTTTCTCTCGTGTGCTGGCCAAATTCTGTTCCCTTCAGAGGGGGTACACGAGGAACCAACAGCACTTCCACCCTGCCCCAGCACAATGAGGACACAGATGTTCACTGCAGATTCCACAACAATTTTTCTTGTGTTTTTAAGGGAAAAGAAACAACACTACAGCATTCCTCACACCGTGCTAGGCCTAGATTTTCTCTAGAACTAAACCCCCAGAATATAAAACTCTATGCACAATAAAAAGACATTTGTTCAACCACACCATGGTACTGCCAGCTAGCAGCGTTTGAAAGTCATTTCAACTTCATCATCCTTTAAAAACTCATTTTCTTCAATTTCAACAGACCTGACCAAAACACAGATGAGGATTTGACATTTGTCACTCCTTACAAAGTAGGGCTCAGCTCAGCCCCCCCAAAATCTGAGCACACATCTGAGGGTTAATTCCTGCTTGTTCTCAGCAAACCCCTCCCCGATTCCAGGGACACTCCCAACACTTTTCTTTTTCCAGGGATTTTGTGGTCTGTGGGACCAGCTTTGAGCAGCCCCAATAAAGCAGAAAGTGATAAAAACCACAAGGTTGGGGCTTTTTTTTTTTGTTTTGTTTCTTTTTTTTGCTTAAAGAACTGTAAACATTGAAAGCCTCAAGTCAACGCTGCTCAGCCTTTACACACAATGCTCAGGCAGACACAAAGCTGCAGGAATTCTACTGGGAAAATGGGATCTGGGGAGAATCAAGTGCTTTAACCCTTCTACAGCTAAACACACACAAGGTCTTGGGGAAAACCACACGACTTGGTACAATTTCTAGAAACAGAATTACAGTACTGACATTAAAAACAGTTTCTAAGGCTCAGACTGAGTCCAAAAAGGCCTCTGGTTGGGTTCATTCAAGCTCTTATGTTTGGACTGCATGAATGCAGCATAAGAATGATTGCAGCAAGACATCCACAGGTAATTTCTACATTTATTTTTGTTGGGTTTTTTTTTTCCTATTTTTTTTATACCAAAAAAGTTATGTGCAACAAATAGAATTCGTACATATTTACATGGTTTTTTTACCTGTTAGCAAAATTGAATCCTAAACCTCCAGTAGAGAATCTCTCAGCCTATTTTGAGAAAAGAAACATCTGCCCAATGACTCCTTTTTAAATGGGTGTTGGATTTGAAAGCACTGGGAATAAATAGTTGATGGAACAGACTATACAGAACAAACACCTAATAATATTTAGGCCATGCTTAACACAGTTTTGTGGTAACAGAATACTTCAGGATCTTTTCTGGACCAGTTTAAACAGCATTTAAAGCCAAGCTCTGATCTCAGCCCACATAAAGGAGGAGCAGAACTGCCTGGAGCACCTCACCAACCAGCACTAAAATGGCAACCCCAGCATCCAGAAACCCCCTCAGCAGAGATCTGCTGTCCCTGCAGAGCCCAAAGGTGCTCAGCAATGTTCCATTGGCCTCAGGGTCACAAATACTTCACTGGGAGAAATGTCCAGGAATATTCATTTCCTCCCTGGCCTTAAAGAGTAGCAAGTACCTTACAGTAAGAGGATTTCAGGAATGGTTAATTCCTAAGCAGGGTTGGGATGAGGTTTTGTTGCCTTTTCAATCTGCCCCTCACTGTGAAATTTCCAACTCAGAATATTCCATGATCCTAAAGGAATTTTGGGATTCTGAGAGAGCCAAAGAGGGGCAGGAAGAGCCCAGATTCAGAACCTCTGTTTGGGTACTGTGAATTTTATCCCTTCCACTCTCCTGAGTGCTGAAACCACAACAAGGATCTCTGTAACCCCCTGTCCCTTGCCAGCCCAAATATCATTTACCTGCCTTTACCCAGACTCCTGCATCCTGGAGAAATTTTAGGATTTGCCTTTGGATTTGGAAGGATAAAATCAGTACCAAGCACACATTTACCACCACATTTTGGCTGGGGCAGGCAGGGAGGCACAGCTGCACTCCTGATTTCAATCACACCCCATTTTACTGGAAGGAAAATGCTGTTTCTATCATTGGGAGCAGCAAGGAAAGAGTCAAAAGAACTGGAAGCAGAAAGGTCCAAATTTCTCCTGCTAAGATAATTCTGCCCTTTATTCAGGCCAACTGCATTTCTGAAGCACGAGAGAGAACGAGAAGAAATCAGGGCCCATTTCTAGCAAATCACTTCCAGTAAAAAGGAACTGCAAGGGAAGCACACAAGACAAGAGAGTTCACAATTAAGGATCAGATTTGCAAAGCTGTGCACAAAAAGTGTGGCTGCAAATTCTCCCAGAGCCCAAACTCCAGCTCCATTTGCTCCCTATGTGCACACGAACAAGGACTGCTGAAAATCTGGCCCTAAACATTTTTACTAAACAAACTGAATCAACAGACTATGCCCACACAAACAAGCACAAGACACAGTGAAGTTAAGTCAACACCAATACTTTCAGCTGATGGAGCTTTTTTTTCCTCTCTTTTTTCCCAGAATTGGACCAAGTACTCATGGATTAGACTTGTCTCCATGGCTGCTTGCTCTGAGACAGGAGCAACTTGGAGGCAGCACATGTTCACCTCTTCCTTGGATGAGAAAAAGATCTTTAGTGTAGATCACAGGAATGCACTGAAATAAAATCTATACAACACATTAAACACTGCTACTGCCTCAGGGCTTGGGAGGGAACAGGGCCAAGCCTTGAGGGACCAATCCAACATCATTCACTCCCCTCAATATCAAAGTGGAAGGCATTTGAGAGACACAACTAAACATCAAGACAAGCTTTAACTATACTCTGGTCAATACAAAACTCATTTAATGGATTGTTGGCTAAAACTGTCAGACGAGGGACAAGTCATTTAGTGTTACATGCAACAGATGTTACTCACACCACACAACTCTGTACAGAAAAGCAGTTTCCACCTCCACCCTTGGTGCAAACCAGAATTACTTCAGTAGTAATTTCAATATTAATTTTGTGAATTTGATCTCCAACCTTGTTTTGCTCTATGGAAACACTGCTTGTTTCACAGTCAAGTTTATCCTTAGTGTTTAAAATCACTTACAATGGAAGTGTCTCTCTGACATTCGTGTTTGAGAATGGAAATGCTAAAAGGAGTTAAATTATTCTTTAAATAAATGGGTATGCAGTTAGAATTGTTCATATTTCAAACTGACAAGGGCAAAAAGCAGCACAGCACCAATTACAGAAAGTAGCTGAACCCACACATTTTGGTGTCACACAGTCTGAAACACAAATATTTCACTTTTCCAAATCACATCAACCTTTTAAATTAAACTGAAAACAATACTGCTACCACTTCTCAGTCTAAAAACTAAAACCAGATCTCTTAATACTCTTCTATCCCCAGCAAGTTTGCTGAGAATTTTGTTTGTTCATTTTTAAAGCAAGGACACTTCTGCCTGCCAAGTTCAACACAAAGTATTTGGTTTAAGATTTGAAGACAGAAGGCACTTTTAACATTCAGCCTTAGAATACTGAGTGCAGAAACAATGTGTACAATTTTGTTCCTTTGTTTAAATCTGCAGTTTAATATTTTTTTTTTCCCCAATTAGTTCTTAGAAAGAGCAATGATAGCACTATATCACATTTCATTTTCAGGAGCACATTGACTTACTTATCCCATTAAACAGGTTGCCCTTCCAAGAGATCTTCTCTGTGTGTGTGTGTCAGGCCTAAAGTTCATTTCCCAATATAGCACAAAGCAAAGATCCTGACCAAGATCAATTAAGGAATTGCTTTTTCAGTGCACTGCTTGGTTATCCTGCTCACTCAGTGGTTTCCACTGCAAATTGCAATTCTATACTGCAGCATTCACAGAACATCAAACATCAGTAACACTGGCTGGCTGAGCACAGCTTCAAATGGAACAGCTCTGCTTGGAAATGGAGTCCTTTCAAAGAACACTTCATCCAACCCCCAGTCTGCAATTCAGCTTTTCATTGACCACATGAAGCTATTTTTGTTCTGTACAGAAATTAATGAGGTTGTCGTTTAATCAACATACTTCAGGTTTCAGCTTTAATTCCATTTTTGTTACTGGAGACAAAAAAAAAAAAAAAAAAAAAGGAAAAAAAAAGAAAATAAAAAATGGAACCAACCCCAAGCATCATTCTTGTGAGAGCAGCAACTCCATGTTCTTTAGAGGTCACTTCTTCCATCGTGTCAGTGGACTCTGAGCTGAACCCTCTGACAGCTCCTAACCAAACCCATGGGACAGTGAGTTCTCCAGGGATGAAACCAAGAGTTCTAATTTTATTTACAGTATAAGTCCTAGTCAAATCTAAGTCCATCAGCTAAAAAAAAAAGAAAAAAAGAAAAAAAAAAGAAAAAAAAAAGAAAAAAAATACACTTACTGTAAACATGGCAACATTAAATATGGTGATGCTAGTCTAGAATATTTCATGTCATGATCACATCTTGTTATACCTGAATTTATATACAGGATATTTTATAGCAAGTGTTACCCACTTCACAAGTGGAGGGGGAAGAGAGAGAGTCTAGGTTTTGCTGTGGCTAAAACTCCTTCAAAGTAAAGTTAAAGCTTGTCTTTGATTGTTATAGAGCTTTCTTTCACAACCACATTGAAACTGAAGATTAGCACAGAGAAATTATCTGGGGCCCCTTGAAATTTATCATTCAAAATTTCCATTATGATTCTCATGGTGGTGGGGGGGAAAAGAGGGGGGCAAAAAGTGTCTGATATGGAGAATAAAAAAATTACTGCAAAATAAACTTAATGGAAGTTGGGTCTTCAGACTGTCAGTCAAAAGTTCCAGCAGGGGTTTGTTATTCCTGTTTGGGTTGGAGTTGCCTCTTCCAGGCCTCGTTCAAATAAACTAGTCGTTTGTAGTTGATGATAAAGAGAATGAAGTTCAGCAAATATGTGAGCACGCAGACAATGCAAAATTCCTTCAGCACGAAGTACAGGATGTAGGCCAAGTACAGGGACCCTACTACAGACACTATGGAGGATGTCATGAGGATCAGAGCTGCTACTGCACTTGCTGTCATACCTGCAACGAGAGAGACAAAGTCACTCACCCCTCTCCACACAGAGCAAAGCTCAATTCAAACTCAGCCCCTCAGCAAGAGTCACACAAAATTCTGGTTAAAATGCCACCTGGGTATTGGAGAGGAGCAAAACTGAATTCAAGCTCAGCCACTCAGTAAGAGTTACACAAAATTCTGGTTAAAATGCCAGCTGGGTATTTTGAGAAGAGCAAAACTCAATTCAAACTCAGCAAGAGTTACACCAAATTCTGGTTAAAATAACACCTGGGTATTTGGAGAGGAGCAAAACTGAATTCAAACTCAGCAAGAGTCACACAAAATTCTGGTTAAAATGCCACCTGGGTATTGGAGAGGAGCAAAACTGAATTCAAACTCAGCCACTCAGCTTCTGGTTAAAATAGCACCTGGGTATTGGAGAGGAGCAAAACTCAATTCAAACCCAGCCCCCCAGCAAGAGTTACACAAAATTTTGGTTAAAATGCCACCTGGGTATTGGAGAGGAGCAAAACTCAATTCAAACTCAGCAAGAGTTACACCAAATTCTGGTTAAAATAGCACCTGGGTACTTGGAGAGGAGCAAAACTCAATTCAAGCTCAGTCACTCAGCAAGAGTTACACAAAATTCTGGTTAAAATGCCACCTGGGTATTGGAGACGAGCAAAACTTAATTCAAATTCAGTCACTCAGCAAGAGTTCCACAAAATTTTGGTTAAAATAACACCTGGGTATTTGGAGAGGAGCAAAACTGAATTCAAACTCAGCCCCTCAGCAAGAGTCACACAAAATTCTGGTTAAAATAACACCTGGGTATTGGAGAGGAGCAAAACCCAATTCAAACTCAGCCCCTCAGCAAGAGTTACACAAAATTCTGGTTAAAATAACACCTGGGTATTGGAGAGGAGCAAAACTCAATTCAAACTGAGCCACTCAGCAGGAGTTCCACAAAATTCTGGTTAAAATGCCACCTGGGTACTTGGAGAGGAGCAAAACTGAATTCAAACTCAGCCCCTCAGCAAGAGTTCCACAAAATTCTGGTTAAAATGCCACCTGGGCATTTGGAGAGGAGCAAAACTGAATTCAAACTCAGCAAGAGTTACACAAAATTTTGGTTAAAATGCCACCTGGGTATTGGAGAGGAGCAAGACTGAATTCAAACTGAGCCCCTCAGCAAGAGCTACACAAAATTCTGGTTAAAATAACACCTGGGTATTGGAGAGGAGCAAAACTGAATTCAAACTGAACCACTCAGCAAGAGTTACACAAAATTCTGGTTAAAATAACACCTGGCTATTTGGAGAGGAGCAAGACTGAATTCAAACTCAGTCACTCAGCAAGAGTTACACAAAATTCTGGTTAAAATAACAGCTGGGTATTGGAGAGGAGCAAGACTGAATTCAAATTCAGCCACTCAGCAAGAGTTACACAAAATTTTGGTTAAAATAACACCTGGGCATTTGGAGAAAAGCAAAACAATTCAAACTGAGCCACTCAGCAAGTTACACAAAATTTTGGTTAAAATAAGACCTGGGCATTTGGAGAGGAGCAAAACTCAATTCAAACTCAGCCCCTCAGCAAGAGTCACACAAAATTCTGGTTAAAATAACACTTGGGTATTGGAGAGGAGCAAAACTGAATTCAAACTCAGCCCCTCAGCAACAGTTCCACAAAATTTTGGTTAAAATGCCAGCTGGGTATTTGGAGAGGAGCAAAACTGAATTCAAGCTCAGCCACTCAGCAAGAGTTACACAAAATTCTGGTCAAAATAACACCTGGGTATTTGGAGAGGAGCAAGACTGAATTCAAACTCAGCAAGAGTTCCACAAAATTTTGATTAAAATGCCACCTGGGTATTGGAGAGGAGCAAAACTGAATTCAAATTCAGCCACTCAGCAAGAGTTACACAAAATTCTGGTTAAAATGCCAGCTGGGTATTTGGAGAGGAGTATCTAAGGCTCTGTCTGACAGCCCTAGGATAAGGAGTGTGTGTAGGATTAACCATCCTCATATTCCTGAGTTATAGGAAAATTCGTGGTCAGGTTATTTCTGTCAGGATTAACAGCTTTGTAGCAAACCACAGAGTTACTAAGAAATATATAAAATTATATTTCATGCACTTTTTTGCCTGCTCTCTCCATTACTCCTCCAAAACTTGCCCATTCCATTTTTATTCCCTCTCTTTTCCACCATGCAATCCAATGCCAAATTTACTGGAGTGAAAATACCAGCACAGAAACTGTCTTCACACTTGGATTATTAATAGCATATCAGGAGGAAATGCAATTACTCTTGTTATCAGTTGGGTTTTAAGCCCTTTGGACAGATGTATCATTAGAGTGCTGCTAAAAAAAAACCCAAGATATAAAATCAGAAGCATTTATCTGGTTTCCTGCAGATTGTGCAATGGATATTGCTCTCCTCCTCCATCCCCACAGCCCTGCTTGCAGGCTCTGAAGTGAATGAATACTTACCAAGTAGCATTTGTAGTATATAAAACACCAGGCCAAAAACACTGTTGGACTGATTTATTGCACTGTCCTTTCCAAAGATGGAACCCAAGAGACCGAATCCTCGACCCCATCTGTAAAACAGGGAAAGGAATTAACTCTGATTTGCCCACCTCCTGCTTTCCTGCAGCATTTCCACTTCAGGGCTCCTGGGGAAAGAAAAGAACACAAATTCTGACATGATTTATGTGGTGCTCTCCTGGAAAACCAAGCAGCAACAGGGGGAGCACTGGGCACAGATTGATTGAAGTTGTTTGACACACCAGCAACTGCTGAGGGAAATTCACTGAACACCAGCTCTGCTTCCCAAGGAGTTTGGAGCTGTTTTGTCACACAAACATTTCCTTCCCCCAGTGACAGCTTTAGCAGTTCTGCACTGTGAGGTGTTCACAGGGGTCTGAGGGTGAGGGAAAAGATGAGGATCTGACTCCATGTTTCACAAGGCTGTTTTATTATATATATATTATATTAAAACTATGCTAAAAGAACAGAGGAGAAGGTTTCCTTCCAGAAGGCTGGCTGGAATGAATAGCAAATAGAAAAATAGAAAGGAATGAATAACAAAGGTTTGTGGCTCAGAGAGTCCGAGCCAGCTGACTGTGATTGGCCATTAATTACAAACAAACATGAGACCAATCCCAGATGCACCTGTTGCATTCCTCAGCAGCAGATAATCAATGTTTACATTTTGTTCCTGAGGCCTCTCAGCTTCTCAGGAGGAAAAATCCTAAGGAAAGGATTTTCATGAAGAGATGTCTGTGAGCCTGCAGCACAGTCAATTGGACACAAGGTCACTACAAAGCTGAGGCAAGGATTTGTTCCACTCCCTTTGTCTGCATCAGAGCAGGACAAGAATCAGGCCATAAATCTGCACCTCAGGAGGAACCCAAATCTGTCAAGCACACGAGCTGAGCATGGCACCATCACAAGATCCCCAGCCCTCGTTGGTGGGAGCTCTTGCACAGAGGGACACTTTGAACCAGCATCTGAAATCCCCACAAAGTGACTTTCACCTTTCAGTGCTGAGGCAGAAAGCAGCACAAGCCCTACAAAAGGAGGAGGAAAGATTAAATTAGCAATTGTGTTTGTGCCAGAAACCATTAATTCCATACCCTAAGGCAGATCATGCCATTATTTGTAAAAAGCAAAGTGAGAACCCTATTTATTAGTGTCACTTGAAAATATGAAGTTATTTTGTTACTCCCAGGTAATTTAACTCACAGGAGCACACTGGGATATCTGCCAGCAGATTTTTGGAGCATCAAGCCAAGCAAACAAATGAAAGGTTTGCTTCACATTAGCAAGGTAAAAAAGTGCCAATCCTCATCCTGCAGCAGCAGGAACTCCAAGGAAAATGCAGTTTTAGGAATTTCCTGTCCCAGGGGCAATGGCCCTGCTAACACAGCTCAGGTAGGAATGGTGCTGCTGTCACTCACCCCACATCAGGGTTTTCTCACAGAAAGAGGCACCACTATGAGGATAATTTAAGACTTTCTAGTCTCACAGCCATCTGTGCAAATCTCATTATTTTAATTGCAGCCTAAGTCTGAATTTACTATTAATACTCTTGTGCTCTTCTCCCCAAGAAACCCAGCAGGTCCCAGTTCTTAGAAAGCAGATTTACTGTACAAACAGTCAAAAATTAAACAATTTCAGTTAGTTTGGTCTCAAATCTTTTACAAGTGAAATTTTTGTGCTTTTAAGCTTCAAGGCACAGAAAAAAGCACAGAATGCTTTTCCAGAGGACAGAGCCCCAGCATCCCAGAGCTGCCAGGAAAAGCAGCAGAACTGCCTGGCTCTCTCTGCTCTCACCCCAGGGCAGCTCTGGGGCTGTGGAAATTACAAAGAATTACAAAAAAATCTCAGTTATGGTGAGATTCCCCTCCACAGCTCAAATGTTATCTGGATTTTAAGTGAGAAATGTTATTTTTTTTAGCTTTCCTGATAGTCACAGCACATGGAACAATTGTCTTGTGGTGTCCAAATTCCAAAGGCTGAATTAAAGAGCAACACAAACACATTTAAGAAATTATCATAGTAGTATATAAAATAGTTTAGTATATATACTTTAGTAGTATATACTACTAAAACTACATAGTATAGTATATACTATGTAATTTAGTATATGCTACATAGTGTAGTATATAAAATTACTACTTTTTATATTTAATAGTTTATTTTATTTATTTTTCTATATTATTACATTTATAGATGCTTCAGCCTGCCATGCCCAAGTTCAGTTCATTGTTGAGAATTCATGTCAGGGTGACATTAAAATGATTTGAACACATTCAGGTTTTCTTGCACAACCTGAAGCAGGCAAAGGTTCAGCATCAGCCTAACTCCTACCAAGGGCAGGATGCTGAATCCAGCCCTACCTGAGTGCTCTCACATCCTGAGATCTGAGAGCAGCTTCAAATATCAGAAATGGCATTTTACAGGACTTGTAATGTCAGAAATGGCATTTTACGGGATTTGTAATATCAGAAATGGCATTTTACAGGACTTATAATATCAGAAATGGCATTTTACAGGACTTAGAAATATCAGAAATGGCATTTTACAGGACTTGTAATGTCAGAAATGGCATTTTACAGGATTTGAAATATCAGAAAAGGCATTTTACAGAACTTAGAAATATCAGAAATGGCATTTTACAGACCTTACAATATCAGAAAAGGCATTTTACAGACCCTGACCCTGCAGCTGCCCTGCAGAACAATCAAATGTTGCCAGAGGAGGGATAACGAGCCCCAGCCCTTGC